GCTGCTGGTCAGTTTCAACAGCGGCTGACTTGGGGACGCCTGGGACAGAGCAGCTGGGGTGCTGCCGGGTTGGTCCAGTAGCGCCAAGGAGCGGAGCTGCGGGACCAACCGGCAGTGCCCCACCTGCTCTACCACAGGCCCCGGGCTTTGCTCCATGTCTCCCTGGTCTGCTGGGGGGGGGCACTAGCTGTGTTCCCCCCCCCCACCCCTCCAGCAGACTAGGGAGACGCTGAGCAAAGCCGCAGAGGACCCGGGCCGGACCACGGCGCTTCCAGATCAGCGCTGCGGGTCCGGCCCGGGTCCTCCACCGCTTTGCTCAGTGTCTCCCTGGTCTGCTAGCTCCCCCAGCATACCAGGGAGGCGGGGAGCAGCTTTTCTCGCCCCGGAGGAGGCGGGCGGCGGGACCAGGCGTCTCGCTGCTCCAGTCCTCCGGGGCGAGAAAATCCCCGTTCGTAACTGCGGATCTGACGTAAGTCGGATCTGCGTAACTCGGGGACTGCCTGTAGTACTGAGTGTGGACTTGTAGGCTCTAAAGTTTTACATTGTTTTGAGTGCAGTTATGTAACAACCCTTTCCTCACTCCCATTTGTAAGTTACTCTTTCATGATAAAAGATTGCATTACAGTGCTTATGAGGTAAAATGAAAAATATTATTTCTTTTGTTTATCATTTTTATAGGTCAAATATTTATTATAAAAATATAAAGTGATCAACGGTACACTTGTATTTCATTTGCATTGTTAAACAATAGAATGCCAATTGAAATTTATTAAATCTGTCATGAATCATGATTAATTCTAACTTAATTGTGCTGTAACTGTGATTAATCAACAGCCCTAAGTTCTTTATATATAAAAATATAGCTTGTATAACTATAAATATAAAACTTTAAAAAAAATCAGTGACTTAAGGGAAAAAGCTCTTCAGAGGCAACAAAATGGATATTCAGCTGTGACAACAGCATGGATATTCAGAGTTATGGTTACATGATAGGGAAAGCTTTCTCTTTCAGCATTAGAAAATATGGAGATGACCAAAGTCTACAGAATAAGCTGACCTTCACGACTGTGTCATAGGCCAAAAAGCAAGTGAAAAACAGAGACTGTATCATCCATATAGCAAGCAATTTAATTTGCACCAGTTACTCTGAAAATTGAAGAAGTAATGTATTTGGACTACTTTAATCTTGTTTGTAGACTGCTGTAACATTTAAATTGAATGGTACCTGTCTTTAAAGCAATGAAGTGAACACTTCCTACTTTAAGATCTTTGGGAATTTGCTAGATATTTTACATTGCTTCACCGAAAGTGCCCAAATTTAGGGATGAGTCTCAGAGGGTAGCCATGTTAGTCTGTATCTGCAAAAACCACACGGAGTCCCCGTGGCACCTTCAAGACTAACAGATTTATTAGGGCATAGGCTTTCATGTGCAAAACTTACTTCATCAGCTGAGTTGGATTGGCGTTTACAGAGGAATGGGTATATAAATATGGACAAAAAAAGAGAGAGTCTACTTGTGTAAATGAGACTAATTAAGCCAGAGTGGAAATGGCTCATTCATAGCAGTTGATGTGACCATTGAGAGGGGAAATAGCCTTTTTAATGAGCTAATCAGTTAAGATCCTTATTGAATCCTAAATTGATAGTATTGAATTTTCAAATGAATTCCATATTAACTGTCTCCCATTGCAATCAGGTTTTGAGATTCTTTTGTACAAGGATATCTACTTTAACTTCCCTGGATATTCAGTAATGGATTTAAAAAGTAGTCCCCTACAGGTTTATGTGTGTTACCATACCTCATTTCTGATTTGTGTCCATTTATCCTTGGTGTAGAGACTTTCCAGTTTGGCCAATATACATGGCAGAGGGGCATTGTTGGCTCTTGATGGCATGCATTAGTGGATGTGCAGGTGGTTGAGCCCCTGATGATGTGGCTTAAGTAGATAGGTCCTGTGATGGTGTCTCCTGTGTAGATATGTTCATGAGTTGGCAACAGGGTTTGTGGCAGGGATAGGAAAAGTATGTGTCAATATGAGAGAGTTTACGTTTGTGAGCTATCAGTTAATAAAGAGATGCACAGGCTGTAAATTTCTTTGAGTTGCTAGAAAATGTTCCATCAGAATTTTGCCATCTTACCTTGAAGATGTGATGAGTGCACAGAATACTACAGAAGAGAGGCAGAATTAAAGATTTTTTGGAAGATCTTCATTATGTGATTCTACTTATTGTATAT